TTCACTTACTTATTGGATAGAACATCATTTTAAATAGGCATAACGCACATGTATTGACTTCAGGACGAGAAAAAAATTAGTAAAGTACGTTGAAATGTAATAAGTTTAGTATACAGAATAATCGAAAAAATATGTCTGAATTTCATTATCAAGTGTTAAATTACTTTTCATGTTATTTGCTTTAACAGTTATTACCAATGTTTCAATTGGTTTCTCTAGTTTAACGATCATATCATATATATGTAGGGTGTGGGCGTGGATGTTGTTTAATTAAGAAAACATTCACTCATACTCACATGGAAACCCTCATATATAATAAGGTAGATCCAATGAAAGCGTTTGTCTAACTCTCTACCTATGATTTCATTCAAATCTGAATGACACAGTTGCTTTCGGATTCCTAAAATATTTACTAAAATAAGGAATAGTAATTCAACATTAGTTTTATTTGTAAAAATGAAACTTGAAAAAAAAACAATAATATATTAATCAATTAATATGTGATGATATTTTAATATTATCAACAGGAACAATTACCGAGAAATTTTCTTCGTCTCCTTTATTTGTTGTTTGTTGTGGACAGATTGAATCTTCAGTTTTGGATTGTTCTAATTCAGTTTTATCAGATACATCGTTAAACAATTGAGTGGATAATGGTATCCAAATGTATTCAAGTTCATTTGATTTGTTAGTCGATAACTAAAAATTAAAAAGCATTATCATAGAATATGCGAAATGTTTATTATACTTTCGCTACATTTGTTCCATCCATTGATACATTCTTTTCATTGAAATGATCATTCACAGAAGATCTTTGTAATAATTCATTATGTAAATCAATTAGATTATTTAAATCTCGCTGAATACGTTCACGACGTTCCTGTTTTTGTTGACATTTAAAGATTTTCCATCCTATTGAACATCCACAGAAAGATATCGCAGCAAGAACACCTAAAATTCCTATCGGTGAATTTGATGTTGATTCGTCGGAAGAACTACTTGAAGACACACGAGTACCTATATTTAAAATAAAAATAACATTTCTTTTATAATTCTAAAATATCTTCCTACGTGTTTTTGTTTTAGGTCGACGTTTTTCACGTTTTCCATCAGCACACAATATGAGAAATACAATTAATATTATGTTTAATATTGATCTTTTAAATATCATTTCAATATTTTCAATTTCTTTATTCTTTAATTAAAAATGAGAATAATCAAAATTCAATAGATAAATAATTTCATATTTTTTAGTTATAGTTTTATTAGTAATTCTGATAACCATCTTGAGGGTGGGTGTGGATGAGAACAGCTACCAAGACGCGTTTCAATCTTGCTACAGATCTCATCAGTTGGTTTTTCACATCTCTATATCGATTTTAATGAATCAACGATTCTAATAATCAACTCAAGAGTAGGGTATGGGTGTGTATGAAAAAGACCTATCATGATGCGTTTCTATCTTATTCAAAGATTTTGACGAATTGCAAAAGAATCTATATAAGAAAATACAAAATTAATAAATTAGAAAACATTAATCTTTCAAATAATATCATCCGATATTACGGACTTATATTATATACAAAGCAGATGATTGATCGAAGAATATGGTAGTGGATGTAGTTAATTGATATTATTCAGAAAAACGAAGAAGTATAAATGTATCATCGTATTGTCTTCCGATAGTAAAATTAAATTAAGAGAAACTTACTTTAAGACTGAGACTTGGGAGAATGATTCGTAGTTGAGAAGTGAATGTATAGTTTTGATGATTGCTCTTGATTTTATTGTTTGGTATATCGAATAAGGTAATAAGCAAGTTATTGAGTAACGGTTAGTTTAAGGAGTATATATAATAGAAAGAAGAAAGGCTCACTTTGTTTGAATAAAAATGAAGAATGAAAGTAAGGAAGAAAAAGTGGCATTTATACACATGTATTGTAGGGTTGCATTGTTTATGTTATATGTGCACCTCGATGAGAAATTCCCATTCTTAGCTATGTATGCGTACTTGATAGAATGCGATTTGAAATAAGATGAAAAAAAACATCGTATAGTATATCATTTTTCTAATAAAGCTAAAGAATTGGTATTGTGTTGCTGCGAGGTGCAAGAATGTTTTTGTCTGTTTTTTTTGCAAATAAACAAATGAGTAATTATTGACGATATATGGAGGACTGTTCTATTATCTACAATGTAAATGAATATTCTTTTTATGGTGTTCTACATTCACTATCGTTATAATTAGACTCAAATCATTTATTAACATCCTCAATATATCAGTTGCATTGAATATTATTTTACATGATTTTCATCTCTGATGTTCAATTTATTTTGTATAATAATATCATCTAACTGTTCGTCTGTTGATATTATATGAATTATTTTTAGATTACATGCAACTATGGATGCTCATCTTCTTTAACATTTATCTCGCTTACATATAAATTGTTTGAATAGTATTAGTTTTCATCGAATAGTTTCACTTTTATCATCTCGATTTAATCAACTTTGTTATTTATCAGGTGATATTATTCAACAATTATATATTGATTGTCTTCAACCAATGACAACATATAGTATTAATCTATTATTATATGTTACAAGTGATTCGGAAGAAAAAATTATTTTTAATTCATTTTATCAAGTGGCACTTATTCAATGAGAAAAACCGAGAGTTGTTATACGAGAATGTTATAATCCCGATATAAGTCCTGAAGAGTATTGTTTTATAGTATTTACTAGTCCATATAATGATACAATACTTTTATTACACATGTTTTCCAATGATTTTAAAAAGTATATTGGAAAATATTTAAATATTTATATAAATATTCTTCTTTTTTTCTATTTAGATATTGTTATTACTCAACATATATTAAAGTCATTATTATAAATAGCCTATACAATGTACATACATTAGAAATAATTGATTATAGAAGAATTTTGACTAATTATAGAATTCATATTAATCAACAAGTAAGACATTTTTTGTTTCTAATATTTATTAAGATTGAAATGTATGAAATAATTAAAATCTATTTTCTATTGATTAGATAAAATCATTGAAAATTAACAATGAATTATGGATGTTACACAATGTTGAACGTTTTTGTATATTATTGTCGAATGAATCTTCTAATTTAAAGATATTTTCATTTGCTATTTATGATTCATATCATGTATGGGAATAGAAACCATCTCGAATTAAAGATGACATATTCTGTTGTAATATGTTTCAGTCTGATACACATTATTTTCCAGATTTAGTTCGACGACAACTACATCAATATCCACTTAGTCAACCTTGTCACATACGGTGTCGTTTCTGAATTATGTTTGATGAACTTTTTATAATACGAATTTTTTGTTATCATACATTGAAATAAAATGAAACATAATGAATTGATGAGAGTGTAGGTAATGCAGAGAAACTCATACTTTTCAAGTTCCCAAATATATTTAATTCTTTCATTTAAAAAAATCATTTGCAGTAAATGGATAGATAAGATTTAAATGTGAGAAAGATTTTTTTATCAAGCAACGGAATATTCTTATGTAAGGTCATTTTCTCTTACTTGAAACCTTTGCTAACTACGATAAATATATAAAATATCACAAGAATCAATTCAATTTGTCGCTTATTTATTCTGTATGCACAAATAATAAATATGTATCGAAACAAATGTTTAAAATGAAAGATTAGATAGAAAAGTTATTTATCTGCGTGAATATATATCGAAAGAACAAAGTGAATGTCTTAATCAGTTTTCTTTTATTAGGTTCTTCATAGTTAAGACTGCAGATCAATAGTAAATTGATCAGTCCAATTTAGCTTTTGAATACGTGGTGGACTTTGAGTATCGTCGAACTGAAGTGGTTGCCAGTACTGCATATCATTCGCTTTCTGCTTTCCAGTACCCCAACGATCACTGACAAAAATAAAGGCTTCAGTACCATTCGTTTGTAATGCCTGTACCACAAAACTTTCTTGTCCGCCCGAAATTGATCGCCGACGTAAAATACCATGGACGATCTCATTAGTGACTGGATCAATATCGTATTGAGTATCTACCCAAGGGCCCATAGGATGTGTACTAACAAAGACACGAGAGTTGCTACCTTCGGTACAAAAACAACAGCACTGACCGAATAATAAGTAGTAGTAATCATTACGTTTAAACATGATGGGTGCTTCGTTGTTAGTCGGTGTTAAAGGACCGGTAGTGGAGTTTTTTCCTAACGTAGCAGTGTAATTAACTGTAAGTTGTTCGATTTGAATGCGATGCAAATTATTAAACGAATTATAAGCAAGATAAGCAGTGGGTCTTTCTTCATCATCATTATCAATAAATAGTGTAAAATCGCCTGGATTACCATATTCAATTGATTGTACTTTTTCTTGAACTACAGTGAAAACACCATCGGGAGTTTTTGATGTAGCTACAATATAACTAGCATTGAGAAAATTAGGTGATCCAAAGGGACCCGTGCGTTCAACACGATTAATCCAGAGAACATATAACTGAGTATATCGATTGTATATTACTTTTGGTCGATAGTAGATTCCTAGAGGACGACCTCCATTCCATGGAAAAATATCACGTACAAATGTCCATTGGTGTAGATCAGGTGATGTATACAAGTAAATTGTATGATTTTCACGAAAACCACAGTCACCCAGAAGATAAAATCCAGCACAACCGAAGTCGAGTGGCGGATGACATTCACCGTACCCAGCCCCATAGTAATAATAGAGCCCACCTTTCTCATACTGAATTATATTCCCATCATGAATATCCATAGGTTTGCCTTCAATATCAAGACGAGGTAATATATTACTAATTGTCACCGATGTGGCAGACACATTACAAATCAACAGTTGCATCACTAGTGCAATAGTAATAATCAAAATCATGCGATTCATTTTATTTCAATAATACGAACAACAAACAAGTGAGAACACAACAACTGAATACTTCACACCATAAAAAAGGACATCAAGTAGAACACGATGTTGATCGAGATAAGAAAGAAAGAAAGAAAGAAATGTTGAATAGTCGAGAAAAATCTTTGTTATCAGTTTTCGAAAATTATTTTAACTGTTCTGCTGTTTTGAATTATTACGTCAAATGCTGACTTTCAAATTTTCAAAGTGGAAACAACATATGTCTAAAAAAACGTGACTAAATATTATTCTTCACTTTTGGTTTCTCTTTCATTGATATAAAATCCTAAGTAAAATTAGTAAGAAGAGTATTTTTCATCTAGTGCAAATGTTTGACGATATCATATTGATTCACTTTAATTGAAATGAACATGTTTTCTACGTTGTCAAAAAAAAGCATTCATGAATGGATCATACAAAATACATTTATTTATATATATATATAGACCAATCAGATTGAAATTTCTTTAAGTTAGTTCATTGTATAGTTGAATATAAAGTACGTAAAGTAAGAAAAAAAATTGTTGCCCTTTATATTCTCTAAGTGGTACTTTTTGGAATAAGTAAAAAAGAAATAAGAAATAAATGAACACGAGTTTCATTACTTTCTTCCTTTTTTTTTCATTGAAAATAAAGATGGTTGTTACTCTCAAGTGGTTCATCGTCATATTTTCTTTTGCTCGTTTGTCATTAAAGGAAAAAAAGATTGAACGGACATATGTTTTCTTCTCTACTAATATTCTCAACACACCCGATCTTTCCTGCTGAGTGGGTGGTACATACATCAATTTTCTCTTGTGTCTCGTTCAAATGAGCAAGCATAAATGAGAACATTAAAAAAGAATGATGAAGGACAAAATATCAGTATTGGCTATTCACGTCTCTATATATTCGTTAGCAATGACACAACTAGACGACACTAATTGCTTCTTTTAGTATAGTTAGATTATGTATGTGAAAAATAAGATCAAGTGGATGACACTTCATCTCATAGCAGTAGATCACCTATCTGTCTATTTTAATGAGTGAACATTTGATATTTTTCTACCTGTGCGTGCATGTGTGTCTGTTGACAAACACATATCACGCACGGTAGGGAGCTCATCAAAGCTGTTCGCCTGATTTATTTTATACACTCTCAATAACAATAGGTTAACAGTTGGCTTGTATCACTTCATTACTTTTTTTTTCCCCTTATTCGAATATTTATCGGAGTGAAATTGAAGGTGGGATTTATCATTGTGCACTGTTACATCATATCAATCAAATAAAAGAAAGAAGCGGTTGATTTTTATTTGTTCATGACAAAACGTTTGCCGCCGCTACCTCTTGTTACTCAATTCGACCATATCGTCAAGTATCATTCAATAAACGAAAAAGACTTAAGTCAATACATACATATCTATCATATAGCGTTCCGCGACAACTTTCTTCCTTGCATAATTACTTTTTTTTTTGTCTGACAGCGGTAGCAATACACGTTCGAACAATATGTGTATGTGTCCACAACTCCTACATGCGTTCAAGTATGCCTCAACTACTTGAGGAAAGAGAACGATCAAACGAGACAACATTAAACTGTTAAGAAAAGAAGAAAGTGACTTCTATTCTGTGATCTTGTTTGAATGAGAGTATATACATATGTATTTGATAACATGATTATTGACTAGTAAACATATAGATTGATAGTTGTCAAGTTTAAGAAAAAGTATCGGCACGTGTAATAACTCAAATTTATTCATCAGTATAATCTGATGAATCAACAAAATAATAATTTAATCAAGATTTAATAGCAAAAAAGCTTATTTTTTATCAAGGTTAGATATATTCAATTTCAATATTTATTTCATTTCTCGGTCTAGTTATAACCTGATTATTTGAAATAACACAGTAATTTGTCTCATTTTCTCGCATGTTAGATGTTAAACGAATGTGATGAGAGAATGATAACAATAGAAATAAATAACGATGATGATGAGCGTGTTAAAGGCGGCACACTTTGTCATACATACATACAGGTAAACAAGTGTCGGACAATCGCCTGTATATACATTATCAATAGATGGATGTCTATCATTTTATAGACAAATCAAAGCAACGACGACTATCATTCACAATTCTGTTCAATCGATCACATCTGTCACACATCTTTACTGATCAAATCGAAACCAATAAGCATGTGTTCCGCTATTTTATTTATTGGTCAATCATGCACACTTATATATAAATTCTTTTTCTTCTCTCTCTCTTCCTCTCTTATTTTTCAATAAAAAATTTTTAACCAATCATAAAATACCATTGCTTGATATTTTTTTTTCTCTCTCTCTCGTTCGTTGATGTGTTAAGAATGATTTTTCAATCTTTTCAAATCAAACAAATAAATGGCAACTAGTAACAAGAAACGATCAGCACCTACTAATAATGATCATCATCATAATTCTATTTTAATAAACGTAGCAAAAAAGAAAAAAACAACAACATCAACATCAATTAATATAAATGAATCTCCTATTGCTGGTACACGAATTACGGATTGGGAAGAATATGAAAAATGGAAAGAAATACGTGGTGATATTGAACCAGCAATGAATTATGTTGAAATAACACCAGAAGCAATTGAAGAATTACGAAAAATTAAAAATATTATTGGCGATTATATTTGTCAATTATGTAAAGTTAAATATGAAAATGCTTTTGCACTTGCTATGCATAAATGTCCAAGAGTTGTGCATATTGAATTTCGGTATGTATATCTATATATAAGTTTCAATCAAATATTTTTGTATTATTTAGTTGTCCTGAATGTGATAAAACATTCAATTGTCCTGCTAATTTAGCTTCACATCGTCGATGGCATAAACCTCAATCATCATCATCATCATTACCATCGAATGAATCAAAATTAGCAGCAGCATCAACATCATCTTCAGTTCAAAAATCAATAACAAATAAACATCTACGATGTTCATCACGTTCGGATTCACGTTCAACAAATACTTCTACATCGACAAATTCAGATACTGTTCACGAATATCCATCTCTGTCTGCATCAACATCATCTAATATAGACATACAAAAAAAAGATTCTTTTGTCATAAATGGAACACATCAAAAAACATCTGATCAAGTTTTTCGAGCTATGTGTAATGGAAATTCACAACGAATGTTACCTCCACTATTTCAACCATTTACAACATCATTTATGAAACAACCAATAATTTTTCCACATCATCGACCATCATCTACATCAATTCCATCATCATTTGATTTTCGTCGATTACAATCATCGTGCATCTTTTGTAATGAACAATTCTCTGAACTTAATCATTTACTTCAACATATTCGAAAAACTCATGCGGTGACATCCAGTACAAATACCAAAAATACTACTTTAACATTAGACAAAATCATTTTTTAAACGATAAAAATAATAATGAATTGATAGATTTAAAAAAATAATTCAAGTCGTCTTTTTCTTTTCAATTGTTTATTTAATCGTTTCAAATTTATCTATATGTCATCAAAATATAAAACTGTATTAGTAACGTTCAAATAGATCATTATTAATATCGAATTCTTCTTGCTTGTAAAGAAACTTTTCAGTTGAAAAAAACATCTATTGTAACACTGTTGGAAATATTTTTTTAAAATTCTTCACCTATATACAATACAAAACTCTAATTTTAAACAAATATTTTTAGAATTATTTCAGTTGTCAAATGTATTTCCTCCTATATTTTCTATTGTTGATATTATTTCGTGCTTATAAAAATTATTTATGCACGATAATTTAACATAATGGTATTTTTTTCTTATGTTTTACAAAAACAAATTTGTTTATTTTGAAGAAAACGATTATATAGTTTCAATCCCTAGTTAAAATTCTTTACTTTGATTATCTTTCGTGAAAGTTTGTTATTATACAGATGAAATAAAATTCACACTTCGCGTTCATCTATAATTACTCTATTTTAGAATGTTCTCGTTGTATACTCTCACTATGACGTACACTTAAATTTCTAGCATCATAGCAGAAAGAAAAAAGACTGTAATTTTCTAAATATTCTTTAATTCTTTTTTTTTAATTAGAAATGTCAATTGAAAATGATATAGAGATTCCTGTTTTTTTTGTATAATATATCCTCATCACAATCTATTATTTACTGCTTGTATTAGTGTTTGCCTTACAATTATGAATTCCGTCCGTTGGAATGGGAGAAAAACATATCGTAATTTCTTTTCGTTATTTATTTTGAAGGATATATATTGTTGATGTATTAAATGTAAACGACAAATAAAAGACACGTTTTATTTCTATTTAGATTGTATCAATTTAAAATGAAAAGAGAACTAAAATTTTTTATCTCTTATTAGACTAATATAAATCATTAACAGAATAAATGTTAAACCTATTTTTTTCTAAAATCTCCTTTAATATATTTTAAGAATTTACAAAAGGAATAAGTCTCTTAGAGTTAGTTGAATATATCGCTTATATGAAATACCAAATAAAAATAGTTCCGCAGTTAGTTTTAAGTGTAAAAGAACGTGAGTTAGATAATAGAGATCAGTTAATTTATAGGATGTACGCAAATCTCAATACAAATGAATAACTTACTAATATGTACATTATAATAAATTCATCATTATATTTTTGCTAGATTGAATTAATTAACACATTAGAATGTATATCCTGAAATAGTCACACCATAAATTATTTATTAATGTCACGTAAGAGACTGTCAGGCACTATGATGAGGGGTATTTAAGGACAGAAATAAATGACTTTTTAGTTCATCGTATTTTTTATATATTTCAAATATTCTCTTCATTCATATTTCTTCTTATACTTCTTAGCCTCTGTGTTTAGTAGTAGTTATAGTTTATTACAGTTGAGATGCGGATGATTAATATGTTTTAATACTATAATTTTACTGAAATTGATCTAACCTACAATAAAACTATTCAAAACAACTTTTTTTTATTAAGCACGTTAGTTAAGCGTCTTTATCTAGAAAATTCATGTCATTGTTTTGTTATGTGACTATTATATTTCTAGTATATTCAAAAGAAAATGTCGGGTAATGAAAATTTAATTGCGTCTCTTAATTATATAACAGCGCAAATTAATCGATATGGAGCTCTCTTTGTCATTTTATTTGGTACTACTGGTAATCTTCTGAATTTTATTGTTTTCAATGATCGTGCTTTTCATGAAAATCCATGTACAAACTATCTATGGTGGTCATCTATTTCAAGTATCCTTTTCATATGGTCTGGATTATTAACTCGAGTGCTTTCAGGGTAAGTTTGTATGCATATAAAAGTGTGCTAAGAGAACAATTTATAATAGGGATACGCTATTGTCTACATCTATTTGATTTTTAGTTATGGAATCAATTGGCCAAATCAAAATCCACCTCTCTGTAAAATTCGTCTCTTCATACTTAATATATGCTGGTCAATAGCAGCTTGGGCTTTTGTTGGCGCTACTATGGATCGATATTTCTGTAGTAGTGCTTCAGCTGTTTATCGATTAAAGAGTTCAATTCGAACAGCAAGGAAATTTTTAATTGCTATACTGATTTTGTCGATTCTTTTATTTGTCCAAGTTTTCTATTGTTACCAAGCTAGTGTTCCTAATGTTCCTGTCCTATGTTATACTCAAGCTCCAGCATGTCAGCTGTACAATGATTGGACGAATATTTTATACAATATTACTATACCAAGTTGTTTTATGGCTATTTTTGGTATATTAACAATTACCAACATTCGAAAACGAATTATACATCCTGCACCGACATCAAATAGTTTATCAATGCCCAACAACGCAAATATGCATGTAAATCTGAAAAAAATTGATCGTAATCTACGTAGAATATTGTTAATTCAAGTTAGTCTAAAATCCCCACAATTTTTATACTTATGAAATTGACATGTACAACTAATATTTTGTTTAGGTTCTGGTTCTTCTAGCACTAAGTTTACCAGTTGGAATTCAGCGATTATATGCTAGTGTTACATCAAATGTTTCCAAAAGTAGTCTTCAAGTGGCAATTGAAAATTTAATTTATGCCATCATTGTTTTAATTCGTTTTATTGCTTATTCAATGTCATTTTATTTATATATTTTTAGTGGTTCAATGTTTCGTGATACATTTAAACGCAAAATTCAGCGTAAATTACGTGATATGCATATTATTCATTGAAACGAATCCTTTTTATTTATGTTGTAATGTATAATCGTAGACATCCGTAAATAATAATATACTTTTATTATATCACTCTCTCTTTCTGTTTCAATTAAAAAATATAAAGTAATATATTCAAAAACATTATCAGTTAAATAAAATAAAAATAAGATTTTATTTTTGTCTATAAATCTATTGATTATAAGAATGATGCATTCATTTTTACATCTGATATACTCATATATATATAAATATGTGTTTCTTTTTCGATCATAAATATTTTTGTTTTGAAAATTATTAGTAATGGTAATCAATGTCATACAGTTCTTTCTTATACGTTTTATTTTACTTTATATGCGCATTGAGTAAGAGAGAGAAAGAGAAACAAAATAATCATATTCACATTTGTATATGCATACATCGATATTACTGTTGTTGATGTTGTCGTTGTTCTTCGTCTTCTTTCTCTTTTCGAATACAGTATAATGCCAGACGTAAAAAAACGACCTTTTTTTGTTAGTCAAACATCTATGTCTACGAATGAAAACTTAATGGATGTAACATCGACTACAAATGAAATTCCAAGTCAATTCTATTTTGCTTGTCGTAATAACGACATTGAATTAGTACGTCGTTTGCTAGATGAACATCCATTAGAAGATTTAGATCAAATGGAACTTAATGGCAGCACCGCTTTGCACGCTGCTTGTTATTATAAACATATTGATATTATTAAATTATTACTTGATAGAGGTTTTACTCGTTGTGTTTTAAATAAATATAATAATACACCTTTCGATGAAGGTCAAACTGAAGAAATTCAACAATTATTTATACGTCCTAAAACATCAAATCGATTCGGTGGTGGAGATTTATCCGATGAACAAGAAAAATTGAAATGGATTATTCTTGATGGAAATGAACAAAATACAATTCAAGATCGTATACCAGATACTTATCATGGTAATCGTTTGGAATATGGTATATTTCATGGTGATAAAATTCTGCAACAATTAGGTACTAATATGCCTAAAACTGATGTTATTCAACGTCTTTTTCATCGAGCTATGAATGAAAAAGATTGTACACGTTTAATTCAAGCTTATACTGCTGAAACAGACTTTTATAATCGTATAAATAATTATTTAATCTCACAAAATAATCAAAAAAATGTCATATCTGAATTCGTAGATACAATTTATTTTAATCATCAATTGCATGAAAAATATTCATTTCAAGGAATATGTTATCGTACTATGAATATTACATCTGAGAATGATCTTGATATTTATAAAATTGAAACAAAAATTATGAATCAAACATTTATTTCAGCAACAAAAGATCGTCACTTTATTGAACAATACGCACATGAACGTAATAAAAATAACAAATATACAATTATTATTTCATTTGAAATTCGTCATCATAAAACTGCACTAGATATTGAATATTTATCCGAATTTTCACATGAAAAAGAAGTATTAATTATGAATAATAGTATATTTAAAATAATACGTATTTCAACTAAAAATAATTTCAATATAGAAATAGAAGTACGTGAATCAAAATCAACACGAGTGAATAAAAAAGACAAACAAAATGGTATTTTAGGAATATTTCATTTTAAATAAATCTTCTTATGTAATCTATTGAAATACTAGCTATCAATTATATTTATTTTTTAATTACTTTAAACTATCATTTAATAATAAAAAGAAAAAATCACATAAAAATCACTATGATATGGAAAATATTATTAAACAGGTGAATCAACCATAACAGCTTCATTACAAACGGTAAAATAACCATGATAATGTATTTCTTTAGGTGTTATATCAAAATGATAATGACCAGCTTGTCCATGATTACTAAAAAAATGGGAATGTTCGCAACGAAAGCCAGCATTATTGATATCTTCACTTAATATAACTGATAGACAATTTAATGGTGCATGCATATCATAAAATTTTAACCATTGATCAACTTGTTCTTTTGTTGTTAAATCTTCATTCAGGAAATCTGGCATTACATGTGCTTTAACTGTACCTTTTTCAATACGAAATATACCTCCAAGAGCTATGGGTTCTTTTGAATATTGTTTTAAACTACGTCTTATAACACTAATAAAATTATTTTCTTCTTCATGTTCATCACTTAAACGTTCATGTACATCAATTTCAATTACAATTGATGATTTTTTATGATCAATTGATGATATCATTAGATGTTGAAATGGACCACATGTTTTTGATTCATATAAATTTTGACATGGTTCATTTTTTTCTTCAGGTACAAGTGAACTATATGAACGTTGAGTAATAACTTTATTATATTGATCAAGTGTCATATTAACGACAAGTTCACCATTGATAAGAACTTGATTTAGATCAGCAGCACCAGGTCCAATAACAAGTGTTTGCTCATTTTTAATATGTAATTGATCGAGTACACTGGAAATATCAAAACATATTGAATGGCCTTGTTTAAATTCAACATTTTTTGGACCACCTGTTTATAATAAAAAGATGTTAACAATTCTTGATCTCTGAAATATAAAAACTTTACCTAATTGACAAAAAATTCCATTATTGCCAAGATTTGATGCAGCTAAATTCCAAGGTTCAGCTGATAAATCAATCTTATTTATTTCATCAATTGGTACTAATCTTATTTTAACTTGTTTATAAACTTGTTTTAATTCATTCTCTATTGCTTGAATCATCGATTGTCCTTGATCATTTGGAATAGACAATGGATAATGTACAATACGATAATCTCGATCACTGTATGTTTGTTTATGTTTGGCTAAATCTAATAAACGTTGATCACGCCATAATTTTTTATCATCTAAACCATTATCTTCAACCGAATATTTTGAACGAAAATATTTATCAACTTTTTCAACAGTTTCCTGTGACCAATCCGATGGAAAATTCATATCAGTTAAAACACGTTGCATTGATGAACCATATCGACTAAAATCTATTCATATTTGTTATATTATTTTTTTTTCAAATTAAATAATAAATACGTTACAATCATTAATTCCTTTTGGTGCATTAAGATCAATTGTTTGAAATGGTCCCATAAACGACCATCGACATGCTAATCCATGTGTTATTGCTCGATCAACATCTTCAGGTTCAACAATATCATCTTGAACTAATTGAAGAGCCGATGAAAGAATAGCATATTGAAGACGATTTACAACAAAACCATCAACTTCTTTCTTAAGTCGAATTGGTTCCATGCCAAAAGAACGATATCGTTCAACAGCTAAATCAACAAATTCTTTATCTGTCCATGGTGCACCAACTATTTCAACAAGTGGAATTGTTGTTGGTGGATTTATTGGATGTCTATATAAATAAATAAATAAAATTCTTTTTCTCTCTCTCTCGAAATAATATCAATAACATACGCAACAATACAACGATTTCTTGTTTTCATTTGTTCAGTAAATTTCGATGGCATAATACATGATGATGAACTTGCAATTAAAGCATTCGATGGAACAATTTCATCTAATTGTAAAAATAATTTCGTTTTTATTGGCACATCTTCAGGTATACATTCTTGAACATGATCAATTCCTTGTTGAAATACTTCCTTTAATTTTTCTATTGTATCAATTGTTTGAATACGTATTAATATATCAGCTGGTGTTTGATTAAATAATAAATTAAAACGATGTAATTGTGCAAGTTGTAAACCTATTTCCACAACAGCTGCATCAAGCATCGATGAAGATGTATCATATAAAAAAACATCTTGTTTAGCTCGAGCAAAAATAACACTCCAACAACGACCAATAAGACCTGAACCAATAATAACTATACGCATATCTACATGAATAGAAAAAGAACACAACGAACATTACAAAATTCCATAAAGAAACTACTCTAGCAATATTTATTAATAAAAAGACACGAATACATATACAATATTATAAACTATAAAATTGTGCAGCATGACTAGATTGAGTTTCAATTTGTCCGATTTTAAATTGTAAACGATTAAGCCATTTAAGTAAAATAGCTGGACAAGAAAAAAAACAAATTACGATTGTATTATCAAATAAAAAACAAGAATTCTTTTTGATACATACCATACATAAATCGTAGATCGCCTTGTGTTTCTGATGATGGTTGATGATTTAAACATGTTTGAAGACGTACTTGTACATGAGCTGGTAATTGACTTTGATGTGTATATAAAACAGGTACCCACATTGCAAATAACTATTAAATTACAAAATTTATATTTTTTGTTTTTTCTTATATAAAATTAATTTACATTTGCTAATACAATGGAATTAATTTCTTGTAAGGCTTCGATTAAACTTAAAAAATGTAAATTAACCATTTCTGCAAGCTAAAATAGAATAAATCATTTAAAATAAAAATATTTTTATTGAAAAATAAAACAGAAAGAAAAGAACAAAGTACAGTGTATATAGATAAAGCTTTCATAAATAAGCACATGTGTATATTTATGACATCAAAAATACCTCGCGATGTTTGTTAGGACTTTCTTTATCCTGAAATTTACCATTGATTTTGTTTCATATCGAATTTTTTTCGGATTTTTTCATTTAAAAATTCTTTTTTGTTATAAGAAAAAATGTTTTTACGTACCACTTTTGAATGTGATAATAGATGAAGTATACCCGGTGTAATCCGAGCCCAAAAATCCATAATTGCAACAAGTGCTTCTGGATCATGTCCTCGATTAACTTGTTCACAATACATTGTCCATAACTTAATGATAACAACAAAAATAAGAAATTTTATAAAAATACAAAAAAATTTATTTTACTTGACAAAGAATAAATGAATGAAAAAGTGATGACATATGAATAACTGATGTTTTCGATTGATCAGCAAAACCAGTTAAAATATATAAAATATAATCAGCAATCGATTGACTTGCATCAACAGGTATTGGATGACATATTATTGTTCCTTCATTTCTTGTTATAGCTGCATGTGTTAATGAACCTATCATTAACCATGAAAGAAATCGTATACGATCAATACAATCAACAAAATCTTTTGCTCTAAAATTAATGAACAAAAAATATATTTTCTAATAAAAATAATTTAAATAATAACCCTTGTTGAACAGATGTTGGCGGATTATAGAGCCAAGGAAGAAAACGAACAATAGCTTTTGAATCTCGTTGTCCACCTTTTGTAAATTCTAAAGCAAGATATTGTGCAAGACCAGCTTTTAATTGTCCACCTAATGTATCTTCTGTTAAATTTGATAATTGTTGTTTTTCACTTTTTTCTTTCATTGTACTCTATTAAAATACAAAAAAATTAAATTTTGGCATTTCATTTTTTTTCTCGAACTTTTATTTTTGTTATTGTATGAATATCAGCAATAAATGCGACGGTTTCATTAAGATAATGTTTCATACATTCAGCTCCATTTGTTGTTACCTATTTGAAATTAAAATAAAATTATGTAGGAGAATTTTTATGCTAGGATATAAATAAGGAAAAAAAACATCACGGCACTGATATCACAAACGCACAACATTATGAGGATCATATGCACGAACGTCATCGCTGACAATTGCTGATGCATAAATCGTACCACCAGCATCAAGTAAAATTAACTAAATACATATGAAAAAATGTTTTTTTTTAAATAATAGAAAAAAACGACAATAACGTATGATTTACTTGTATCATTAAAAGTAAATTTCTATCAGGACATGGATATCGATGAAGCATAGCTTCAACAAGAACATTAACAATAGATCTTGGTAATAAAAATTTTTCTCGATCCTATAGAATAAAAAATTTTAACATCATGAAAGTTTTCAAAATCATTTGTTTTTTTTACTCGTGTAAATGTTCGATTACTTAATGAACATAATTCAATGATATGTTCTAATTGAAATGTACCATTTTGTAAAATAAATGTTAATAATTTTGAAAATGGATCAAGAACAGCTCGTACATTTGCTATATATGGGACTTTAAGTATATTCATCATAATACGAAGTACAGGTGTTAAATCATAATTAACTGGTGTATTCGATTTAATTGTTGTATAAATTCGTGTTAATTTATCGAATAAAACATCAAATTCATAAAATACTTGTGTCCATAAATTAATTGGTGAATCAATTGGAATATATTCCATGAATTGTGCAATATTACTAAGTAATATTGTACAAATATCAAGTGAGAGATTTTTTTGTTTATTCATATCCTAAACAAAAAAAGATTTAAATTTCTTTATAAATGATTTTAGAAAACAAAAAATTACATTAAGAAGCCATCGAAGTGCAATAATTGAATTAAATTCTGGAAAATCATTCAATGATAAAGCAATTGTATGTAATAATTTATCATCTAGATAGATAAAATATAAGATTTCTTTTTTTTATTTGCAGAAATTTGTCAAACCTCGAAAATGTTGTTGAAAAAATTGATAAGAAATATTATTTGCAGCTAATTGTTGAAATGTACAACGAATAAATTGTTGTGCAATACTTCGTGAATTTGCTGGTGCAACAACAGTTGAATTTTCTTGCCATGTATAGATATGAGATGCAGCAACACGTCCAATTGTTTCAATCATATCCATAAGTAATGGTGCTGCTATAGCTGGTTCACGATGAACAAGTGTTTCACATACAATTATACAATGACCTATACATTCTTCACTATAATATTCAATTGGTTGTCCACATTTATCACATTTAGGTACATTTATAAATTGATTATGTAAATCTGTATCAGCATATGGATTATCTAATTCATCATTTGCTGTTGTTGTTGTTGTTGTTGCACGTTTAGCACTTGATGATATTATACCTGCAGATTTAACATGAGCTTGTGATGATGATGTACGTGTTGGACGACTGAATAGATAAAAATAATATTAGTATATATATATTAATTAAAAATAGATCTACTAACGTTAATGTTGGTGAACGAACATGTGTATCATCTTTATGTTTAGATTTTTTTCCATGATAACTTGGTTTTAATCTTCCACCAGCTGCTGTTCCACCCATACTAGCCAATGTTGATGATGATACTGATGTTGCTTTAGCAACTTTTGGTGGACTTTCTTCTATTAAAACAAAAAAAATAAGAATTCTAGAATTTCTTTTTGATGATATATAATTATAAATTAACCTTTCATTCCAGTATTACTGCCAGGTTTAAGTAAAACAGTTTCAAGTTTACCACGTTCAGCTGAATAAACAACACGTGATAATTCTTTTACTCCTATAAATAATTGATTTATATCTGAATAATTTTATATCAATTAATATTACCTTTGCCACCTTTGATATCAATATCTGTTAATTTGTCAGTTGGAACTGTTGATGATAATGATGGTGCTACACCAGGTGATGTATTAATAGCAGCACTAGTTGTACCTGATGGTCCACTACTAGTAAAAAGACTTTTTAGAAATCCTGTATATGATCGACCAGATGAACCAATATTTTCTTCTGTTTGTCGAATTGTTAATGGTTCATCAAAACATTCAATTTCAGGTTTATATAATCTATTTAAAAAAATTTTAATTAATCGAAAGAATATTATTTTCTATTTTTTTACTTTGGTTTAACTTTTTTCGGTGGTGATAATAATCTAAAACGTTTATGTTCAGCAATACTTGTTGATTCTGATTGTGTATCACCATCTAAATCATATCGAGCTGCTCCTAATTCATTTAATTCTATTTCACGTATATCATCAAATGGTCGTGATGATCCTCTTCGTGATCCAGCTACTTTCGGTGTAATTCTTCCACTAAGACCTCCACCACCAGTAACACCAAATGGTGGTGTTTCACATTGATGATAATGACTAAGAATTGTATTCATTGCAATACGAGTTAAATGTTGAATTGTTACAGCAAATGTTGTATATTGATACTAAAAGATTTTATTAAATAAAATAATTTTCCTTTTTTTTCTTTTTACTTTGTATAAAATAATAATAAGAATCATTAACCATGAATTACGTAAACTAGGATCAATACGTCCTAAAGTATTTGATGCTGCAATATGTTCATAGAATTGTATGGATGCATTTGAACATGTTGAAAATTGTAGAAATGATAGAAAAAATGGTAAAAGAACAGTTCCAAGACTGAAATTATAATCGAGAACTTTAGGTAAATTGGATACAAATGCATGAAAAACTGAACTTCGACTAGAAATAAATAAAAGAGAATATGATATATATTTATAATCAATAGAATACAAACCGAATTTTGCTTGGCAAATTAATAAATGTTCGATTTGTTTGATTATAACCAAGTAAAGAACAAAGATGTCGGATAACAACATTCTAAAAAAAATCAAATAATTAAAAATCATTAAAATATTTGCTTTTACTTGTTGTTTAAGCATAATTCGATCATCATTCACTTGATTTTGATCATCTTTCATCATAAACTAAACACAAAAAAAAATGTTTTTATGTTTATCAAATCCATTTAAAAACAAATCTTTACTTTCATAAGTAAATTAACTAATAATTGTAATGTTGATCTATCACTGTTTTCTGTCTCAGGTGACAGAAAACTTCCAATCGAATCTGTTTCAACTTTATCGCTCGTAACATTTGCTTGACGTGGAACTGTTGTTGTTGTACGTCGTTGATGTGATGGAACACGTATTGATGATGATATAGGTTTAATTGAATCTGTTTTTGCCATTGCAAAACGTATTTGATTTAATTTTCGTATAAAATGTTCACTTTCCGTATTAAACCCACCAATACTTTGTGGACTTATTAATTCACCTGATTCTTCCATACTTATTTGTGATTCAATTGATAATGTATCAAAACGATTAA